GAACGAGGTGGCCAGTTAACAGGACAACCTCTGCCAATTACTCTACCCTCAAATCTTTCGTTAAGGTGCTGTCTAGCTTCAAGGCTGTAATGTGGTGGAGCTCCATCATGCATAAACCACATGTTATGTCTGATTTGAATCGGAATATTATCAAGAAGCTCATGTAAGTTATTTTCCAAAAAAAGCCTGTATGCTGCTCCATTTAACCTATTCGGCAAAACAAATGGTCCAATAAGGTAATTATCAATAACTCCAGCCCAGACGTTTATTGAAAATTTATCCTGGTGGTGACGTTCAACAACCGCGTGAGGGTTATCTTCAGCCCATTCATGCATATTTCGAAAATTTATTATACCATCTCTAGTGAAACCAGCTTCATCGGTAAATAGCACTTTATTAAGAAACATTGCATCTTGATTACATCTTCCAAGAAACCATTCAGGAAAGATAACTCGCGGCTCATAATCAGTAGCTTTAAGTGCCTGAACTTTTTGAATGTGGTAAGGGTACAATTGTTGTTCACGCAAAACTTTCCATACCGTGTTACGTCCGACTCCCACTTCTGAAATTAAATGAGAGAATCTGTGTAGTGAATAGTTAAGAAAGAGAATCCATTGATTTGGGAAATCAGATTTTTTCTGCATAACGCAACTCTTTTCGATACGAAAAGTCGTGAAATGTAAGAGAAGCAATAACAAGTAAAAAAACTAGTTTTATACGATAAGGTACGGGGTAGCTAAAATAATAAATAAGTAATTACTTACCATTTGCTATTTTTCTGGTACTTGTCGATGGGGTTTCAGCTACCCTATCCAAAATTGCTTCTTCCAAAGCAGGAGTTCTCACATAATTTTGTCTTCCACTGTTACTAGAGTTTTTCTTAAATGTACCAGTTTCCCGAAGTCTATCGTCAATTCTAGAAAACGTCTTAGCGCATGGAAGATGCCTATTTGGAAAGCGCTCCTGATAAAGTCTGCGAGCTTCATTGGCATTTCCAGAAGCGAGTCCAAAACATAAGTGCATGTCCGTCATTTCGCCGAATGTGTAATCATTATTGTAGTTATTGTGAGCCATTTTAAACAAAATAATAACAATACAACGAATCGCACCAGAACACTTTTAGAAATAATGTTTAACTGAAGAAACATTTTTATCAGTGAGCGAAAAAAATTATCCATGAAACACAAAAACGCCAAAAAAATACATATTTTTACTTTTTTATTCTAAACAGCTAAATACAAACCTTATGGTCTTCATAATAAATAAATGGGAACTAAATTTTTAAATTTTATTTAGAGAGCTAAAAATAGTATACAGGGTGATTGATTAGTGTGAGGAAGCTCTGTAGATCTGTTATAATAAAAGTAGGCAGCTTTAAGCTTCACATTTTAAAATTAGTTACGATGTGACAGGGTGTTTTATAAGGCCGTGCCAAATCAAAGTTATGTTTTTTAAATGGAACACCCTGTATATTTTTATATTTTTAGAATCTGCTCGATAATCTGATTTCAATGATATATCACACTTGTTATCTAATATGAATAGTAAAGGATCTACAGCTACTCAAAAATCACATTTTTTCAAATTCAGGTGGCTGTTGTAGCCAAACAGTTGGAAATCGAGGAAAACGGCTTACAGTCCCTATCCTAACTTTTTAAGGTCTATTCAGTGACATAAAATACATATTATTTGATACAGGGTGATCAAAAATCCAAAATCACATCCGATTTTTGATCACCCTGTATCAACTAATATTTTTTGCCACTGAATAGACCTTCAAAAGTAAGGATAGGGACATGTAAGCCGTGTTCCTCGATTTCCAACTTTTTGGCTACAACAGCCAAAATTGAAAATTAACCTAAACTGCACGAATATCTTTGGATGATGTTTTCTCGGAAACGGCTGCTCCAATCGAGATCAAACAAGTATTCCTTTTTGACGTAGTTTTCAATGTAGAATGTAAAAAAAATATGGATGTCATTACCAAAAACACAAAAAAGTTATGAATAATCAAAATTTTCAAAAAATTCCCAAGTACGCCCCTGACGAAATAATTTCTTTTTGAAGGTGTCAAAAGGTCACTATTATTGATCATATTTAACAGCCAAAATTTGGTTCTTTTATTTGTTTCCATTTTTAAGAAAATTCAAAAAATCAAAATAAAAAAAATGATTTCGAGAGGCTGTTGCTCGCTTAGGGGGCACTTTAGGACATAGGTCTATAGGAACTTTTTTTCCATTTTTTGGTTAAGGAATCTGCCTGAGAATTTTGGGACACATTTTAAAGGACACCCTGTATAAATGATTAAATATTGTAAATATAATAAAATGAGGTACCTCTCTTTGCATTTCACGGCCTTGGTTTTTGGATAACGAACAGTGCCATCGCAGCTCCAACGAACTCCGTCGGACGCCGTGCTGTCATTCATAACATAAAATTTTCCGTTGCAGAATGATTGAGAGCACTTGATCTCACGGTCTTTAGGAATTACTCCAAAGTGCTGCATCTTCTCAACAATCTCGGAACAATTCCTCCAATTAAAAATCGTGTCAAGATTGATATAACTAGTCATGATAAAATGAGAAACAGAAAACGTCAAATTTAACATGACACAAGCATATTACAGAAATAAACAAAACACGATTCGATGAATCACAGCCTGCTATTAAAAACAATCGCTCCCCGGCACAAAGTGTATCTGTTTTAGTTAATATAATCGCATAAACAATTTTTATAATAACATAATACGGGAAGACAAAAAAAATAAAAATGAAAATTTCAAAACTTTATAACTTTTTCAGTTTTCATTTCCGGTGAATTTTTTTTAAAATTCTTGATTAGCATACCCAAATTAGTATAGGAAAAAAAATTCATCAAATTCTGAGTCACGCCGCTATAGTAAATTTTTACCACTTATATTTACACTACAAATTTTACAATATGCCAAATCACTTCCACTTTTAGGATCTATCGTTTTTGATTTATTTAACCATCCTTTGCACTGCGATAATTCTTCCCATAATTTACAGTACTTGGATTTTTTTAAATCTGCCTTTTTGTAATTTTTAATGGCACTGTTTTCAATATTATCTTCAGTTGAATCCTAAAACGATAGATTTTCTGTAATAACAGTTTATAGTTTTATACCCATGTATTTACCACTTGCACTTTTTCCTTTAAGCAAAACGCCATATTTCAGATATTATATGTACCATACAACATACAATTATTAATCAAAATGGAGGAAGAATTGAAGAATACAGGAATTATTTGAATTTTTAATTTTTGTAATTTTTTAACCTTTATTTTTGGGTTATGTTGTTCTTCTTTCTATTCTTATTCTTATATGTTACATGAGATTAAAAGTAGAAGAATAATAATCGAAATACGAAATCGAAATCAATTTCAACGAAACCGATGAACGAAACATACATCGATTTTAAAATGTATAGATAAATCGATTATTGAGAGGTTGCCATCTCGCATGATGTCGTAAAGGTACGGCATCGCCCGGGTCCCGGTTCAGTTAACCAGCTTTTTAAAATTTGGAATGGTTAATACAGATGTTACGAAATTATCTCCTTTTTATCCTCGATCCTCATTAAGATCCTCCAAGCTTCAAATTATCCTTAAATCGGATACTTATCCTCTCCACGGCAACACTGTTGGATACTGCCTACTCCCTGCTCCTACGTCTCCCACTACACCGGCGCGGCACTGCTCTTGTCTTTTACACACATTACCCGCTGCGCATAGGTAATGTATAAAATAAATCATATTTCATACATCACCTAAACGTTTTAGATATTCTATACAATGCCTAGGTATTGTATAGAATACCGGATTATACAGATTGGCGGTAACATATATATAATATGTTTTTCTGAATATATGATTTAGTGTTGCCAAATATTATAGAATATCATAAATTATAAATTGTGAATGGTGCATTTTCATATTCATATTCATAACATTCGCCATTTAATGACGAAATGACCCTCAATAAGTACCATTGTAAAGTTGGGATTTTGGTAAAAAATACCTTTTTCTAATTTTGACATATAAAGTGACATCTTTTTTAGAGCAATTTCCTTTTTTTAATTAAATATTTCGAATCTGTTCACATCTAATAAGCAAATAAGTGATATAAGTACCGCGCACGGAGCGAATAGGAGGTTGTCATATATTGTATTATCCGAGTTGCGCAGTGAGATCAAAAGTGCCGACGCAGAGTGAGCGAACTGATTCTTTAGCTATAAACTGTGGCATAGGAATCAAAATGGCCGCGCCCTATGTTGGGCGTGTCGGACCTCTCTCTTGCACCGTACAGTAATCAAAGTATGTTGGGTATACACTGAGTATATATTTAATGATCCCACTAGACGACCCTCAAACACAAGCAGAAATTCTGTATAATGAATCGCAAATCAGAACACGAAATGTACTAGAGAGACAATATGGTGTTTGGAAGCGTAGGTTTTCAATTTTAAAATTAACACTTCGTTTAAAATTACCAACGACACTGATTGTTGCAACAGCAGTTTCGCACAATATTGCTATCGACATGGGTGATAGAATGCCTGATGATGAAATCCACATAGAAGTTGGGGATACACATTTTAACCATGTTCATGAAAATAATAATATGAATGGACTCCATGTACGAAGAGCACTAATACAAGTTTATTGCCAAGATTTATTACAAGAAGGGTAGGAATAAATTGTAATTTTGAGTGTTTTTATGTGTTAGAAATATTTATGTGCATAGTTGTTTGATAAATACATAAAACAAATTTGATCTTGCAGGTTTATTTAAAAATAAATTGTTTAAAAATACAATTAAATTGTGTAATATTTTTTACTAAGTACCAACATAGATACGAAGACAATTAAATGGAGAAAAAGTAGGTTATTTTATAGTGGGGTTGTACAGTACAAAAATGCAAGTTTTTGTTTATTAGTAAACTTTATTAAAAAAAATAGGAAGAAAAATTTTATTTCTATTCTAAGTTTCTTTTTAAAATTTCCACTTCATAATGAAATTTCTTAATTCTCATTTCGTGTTCAGCCTTCATTTGACTTATTTCCAATGTGTGTTCCTCTTCTTTCCTTCTTTCTTCATTTATAAGACACTGTTGTTGGATTTTGATCAATTCCAATTTTGCCTCGGACAGACAATTAATTTTCACCCTACAATCCATTGTAAGTTGAGTTTTTTTTATCGGCTTTTTAGCAGGAGAAACTATCGATTTTTGTGGAGTAAGTGTCTGCTTACTAGGAGTGAGTGGCTGCTTACGAGGAGTGAGTGGCTGCTTACTTTTTATACAATTGATTGTTTGATGCGTTCTTTTTAAACTTTCTGGCAGTGCTTCCATCTGTAAAATAAAAATATGTATGTTTATAACATTAATACTTCTCTAAATATTAATAATGTTAAAAAGACTAATAAAATTTGTCTCACTTTGTACACATATACATACCATTATTTGTTTCTTCAATTTGATTGCTGGCAATTTCAGAATGAACCAGTCTCAGCATTTGAGATTGAAACCCACTAGTGCTAGCAATGCCCAATTGGTTTGGAGTCACTTTTATACATTTTTTTGAACCAGCTTCACTTTTTTGTTTCATTAACTTCTCTAAATGTTGTAGCGTTATCTGCATAGCAGACCAAGTCGGGCCAGAGTTTTGTGGTTGTGTTTCGACAACTGAGAGCTGTTCGCTTACCGGTTTTCTTAGTGATTGAGGATTCCATGTAGCCCAAGTTTCATCAATACTATTATTTGTTGCATCTGAAAGATATATTTAACTTAATAATACAAATATTAGGTACTACAAGACCTACATTTCCATTTTCAAAAAATGCATTACTTGTCAAAGTCTATTTTCAATTACTTGCCTGATATCAACTGCTCCGAATTATGTACATGGCTGTCATCGTCATAATCGTTTTCCAGCCCAGTTACCGCTACACCAATTAGTTCTTTTACTCGCTCATCCTTCTGCGTAATCATACAAACTTGTGGATTACCGCCACCAGTTTTATACAATTCATTTTTTTTAAATGAGTACTTTTTTATGTTACTCCACTTTTCGCGAAGTTGTCTAGGAGCTCTCGTTGGGAACCACATTGAATTAAAATTTTCACTTAGATTAACCCACGCCTTTTCTTTTAATTTCCATGTAACCATGTCTGTCTCCTTATTTTCAAGGATATCTTTAAATTGTTCGACTAGTGAAAGCAAACATTCGACTTCCTGTATAATTGGAACTACGTTTATTCATAACTTCTTTATTCATAACTTCTTTAAAACGGATAACGAGATAACACAATACAGCTATTCAGATAAATGAAATAAAACACAGCACAGATCACTTGTCACTGTAATACAGCATCAATATTGACACTCACAACCCTCAAACCTTGGTTTCTTCTTTTTTAATTAAAAAAAGTGACACATTAATGATTTTTGATGACAGAGCTATCCAGTTAATACATAATAAAACATACATTTTGACACCTCGGCTAACTTGAAGATTAACCTTCACGGTAACTTTGGAAATTACCTTGAAGATTTAACTATCATCTATACAACTGGCCCTAAACCACCTTTGTCACTTCCAGGCTCTCCTATGAACTCCACAGATATTGTAGTATGCACTATAGATTCATTTTGATACAACTTAAGTAAATCTGTAACACAATTTTGCCTGTCAATATAAATGTGTGTATGTTTTGCATCTACAGATAGTTGTGGCAACTAAGTAAGTTCATATTCTCCATTATTTAATAAAAAATTACTACAGTTTTCCATAGGACTAGCAATGTCCTCCAAGATGGGAAGCAGATCTACGTGTTGTGAACTAACCTGAAATAAAAAATATTTCAACTACTATACAAATTACCTAATTAAAAAAAAAATAGTGATAGTGATATTTTCTTTTAAACTGAAACTATATTATGTGTGAATCTTTGACTAGTTTACAGTGTAAATTGAATTGTTGATAAAACCGACTTAGTAGGTTTTCTGTGTTAGGTTCAGTGTTCTGAAGCTGAAAATAATAACATTTTTTGGCGCAAAAGCACGGAAATGAATTATTTGCATTTCACTGAAATTATTATCTAATGTAATATTAATTACCCAGGGTTGGCAAAAATCTGGGTTTTTGATATAAAATTTGGGTTTTTTTGTGTCGAGTTTTTGTATGTTTTTGATTTACAATATGGAAATGTCGTTTTACGTTCATACATAACCTCAGAAAACTATAAACTCAACTTAAAAAGTGTAAAATACCTTCGTGAACCTTTGTGAATAATAAATACATTTTTATTCATTTTTAATCGTATTTATATGAAGAAACATGAACATTCAAAGTGATATGGACTTTATTATAGTAGATATAGAATAGATTCCTTATGACCCAGATCTTCTAAACTTAATTAATCTCTTATAACAAATCATTGCAGTTACCTGTATGAAGAGATCGTTCATTTTTTAAGTCAAAGTCAAAAATACTTTATTATCTGAAGATTTAGGTTAGGTTTCATGTGAGTGGGACCGATTCAGTCACCTCCAATGCGACCACTATCGGATCTATTGTAGCACTTAAGTCAGAAGATTTAACTCTTATTGTAGTTTTAGTTATGATTTTTGTTTTTGTGAATAAATAGTGTTTTTTTTATTTACCTACATCATGTACATTTACAGTTTAAACTGTGAATTAGTATTAATTTACACTTCAAACTGTGAATTAGTCTTAATGGCAGTAGTTGCGTTATTTCTCTTTCTTTGAACGCCTTTCTCCTTATGCACGAAGAAACAAAAGATTTTTGTAGATCGTAGTCAGCCAAAGCATAAAACCTTTGAAATATTTGTCGCCTTTCTTCTTCGGAAATACTTTGGCTACACTTGTATCTGCAAGTATGTTGATAAGCCTTAACGCTACGCTGGGTATGTATCTTATTTTTATGGCCACTTATTACTTTAAAAGGGAGATTTAACGTTGTTGGTTAAATTATCTCCCGATTCCAGGGGTTTTCTGTGAAGTGGTTCGGGCACTTAAATTTATATCTTTAATTAAACAAGGGGGTTGTCTCTCTACAGTATTTTATTATCTGCAGCAAATAGATGGAGTTTGTTGTTTATAAGATATTTACAATGATATGATGTTATGCTACAATTAATATTAGAGAATAATATATTATTTACAATAAAATCAAGCCCCGATCTTCTGTGTGGTATGCATACTATACGTAAAGATTCACAACTAATCTTTTGGGCCATACAAAGTAAGTAAACCTATATTATATTTAAAAAGCCAGTTATTAATTTAGATAGCAAATCTATAAGTTTTATATGGATTTTATATATTTTGTAGGTTATTTAATAAAAAGAACAATCCTAGTTTTCTCTAAGCATTATGGACTATGGTTATGAGTACGAAAAATATATGAAAATCAATAATAAAGTGGTATATCTTGTATTGCTACTACTTAGCTGCGTTCCAGTGGACTTCGGAGACTCAGGATTTCTTCAAAAGTGCTTCTTAGCCTAGTGATGTCAGCCTCTGTTGGATGTACGTAACCTGTACCTACTCAGGAATATTCGTGATGGTTTCTTCGAGCCCTAAATGTAAATTAAGAGATTGAATAACGATTGGAAAACAAGACAATCTGATGCGATACGATAAGGTAAGTTATTATACGATAACTTAAGAAAAGAGACCTAAAATAATATTTTACATTCTAACAACCAGAGTAAATTTTAAATAGAATATTTTGAAGAAGTTATTTCTATAAGACTCACCTTGGCGTGGCGTGAAGCCTCCAAGTGGCTTCGATAAAGTCGAAGTTTTTAAATTCTAAATCTAAGAATAATTATGAAAATTATATCCACAGTGATGTGATATTTACTAGTTTTCGTAAATAATGAAATATTCACTAAATATATTCTAAATCCATAATAATGCGAGCACGTTCTTCACGAACCAAACTGTGCGTTTTTAAAAGAAAGCTTCCCAAAAAAAGTTTCTTTTTTTGTTATTGGCCTTAGTCGGTCTTGTTAGTCTAGAGAAGCTCTGGTTGTAGGTTTACCTGAGAAGTTTTAGTTTGCTATTTGACATTTTTTTTGTATGAGAAGAAAAGAAGAATCATTGAACTTTGAACCTTTGAAATTCTAAAGGTTATGTTATTGTTATTAATTTATTCAGGGTTTAATATTTATTTTTATTTTTCAGGAAAGTCACTATAAGAAAATAGAAAAGATCCTATTAGTGAACTAGGAAGAATTATGATGGGAGTAGAACACTTGAAATAAATTGTTATACATTGTACTAGAAGGATATCCCGAATAAAGTTAATAATTTTACTTTGCCTTCATTTATTTTGTGTCAGCTTATTGGAAAACAGGTAAATTTACTATTTGTTTTAAATTATACCCAGAAAAGATATTCAAATTTAAATTAATTAAATTTTTACAATTAACCCGTAACACACTGTATGCTTATCCTGAATTTGTCAGCAGCTTCTTTCTGTTGATTTTCCAGGCATTGCGCTTTCTCTTTGGGGTTTTTATTTTTTTTTCTCCAGCAGAATCATTAGATCCATCCATACTATTACTGGACTTATCACTGTCAAGATTAGAAAGTACGCTGGTATCTGAAAATTCGAAAAAACATGCATTTATAAAACTTTTTTACATATTTTTACAGAATAAATGAAAAAAAATATTAGCAAAATTTAGGAATTTTAAAGAAGAATTATTACTCACGTAGCAGTCCTGGCACCTCAGTGTTTATTTCTGTAGGTCCATCCACATCTAAAAAAAAATTCTAAAACAAAATTTTGATTTCCACCATTTTATTAAATAATTTGCCTTTAAAGTAGGTATTTGTCATTTTGAACAAAATAAACTAATAAAGTGACAGGTGTTCGAAAAAGCCGCGATTTTAAAGTACCTTTTATTATTTTGTACACAAACCTAACCTGCAATTTTGCTTACCTTCTGGAATTTCGCTTTTCATGCTTTTGCATGTAATTTAGAAAGGCAGCAGTGAATCTTCATGCACTTCAACGCTAACTTAAGTAAATACAATATAGTAACGACAGGTAACCTCAAAATCAATACTTAAACAGCACAAACACCGAGCTCCAAAAACTTGTTAGTTTAATAATAATAGAAAGGTTGGAATAACATGGGAACAAGTACACTTGCATCCGTTTTATTGTAAGCAAGTAGTATGTAAAGTGCCGCTTCTGTCCCAAGTTCGATCTCCAATCGAGCACCCACAGTCCTATATAAAAACAGAAATTGGAGAAATCCAGATATCGAAAACGAAAGTTGAGAGTTGAAAATACAAGTTCAAAGAATATTGATAATAAAGATAAGTTGAAATAGATAAACTCAAGAAAAGTCTGTCGTGCATGTGCTTATCATTCTTTAGATTGATAAAGCCTTTATAAGTTATATTAGTAGAATTTTCGTTTAATTTTTTTAAATCTTGTTTATTTAAAAGTTTAGTATATCTATCAGGTAAAGTAATTTTAAATGTATCATCTAAAACACAAATAATTTTTGTACCAAATTTTGTATCCAAAATTTCAAAATCAGTATCCTTATATTTTTTATTCATTTCAAGCTCAGATAGTTTTACAAACTCGTATGAGCGGTTTAGTTTTTTGAATAGCGATTCCATTTTGCTTTATATTTATAAGAAAAAAAATTTAAGAAAAGAAACGTATATAAAAAAAAAGAAAATATCTAGATTCTTAGATCGAACTTGGGACAGGAGCGGCACTTTACATACTATTAAAACCTAAAAGAATCTAAACAATATTTTTTTATTTATATATGTTTATGTTTAAGAATCAAACTATTTTTTATAGATTTCATTCATAAATTTTTTATTTTTCAAAAACATGTTTTTTCTATTAAATTTTTTCCCTTCTAAATAGTCATGTCCCAACTAATAATACCAAGCTACCAAAATACTATTAAGCAGTTGAAAACTACTGCTAGAAATTATAGAGATCAATATGGTCTCAACATAAAAGGATATTCTAAATTGCTAAAAGATTCATTATACGATTTATTAAGAGATAGAATAATTGAATATAATGAAAATCAAGAAAGACTTCATGCGGATAATGAAAATCCAGAAATAAATCGTAATGAAGAAGAAGCTAACAATTTTTTACAATCATTTAATGACTATGATTTTGGAGGACCAAGAATCAGACAAGAGAAAGTGCATAACAAATTAAAGGATTTAAAAGAGTTACCAAATATATATAACGATAATGAAGATGTTCGAGTAATAAGAACAAAAGGTGCGTGGAATAATATGCTTGTTAACTATTCTGTTTATTGTGAATCTGGGCAACATGATTTAATAAAATATTTATACAATGTTCAGTACAAAATATGTGAAACTATCAAAAAAGAACTTGAACGGAAGAAGTGTGTAAAAATTCAATTAGTTGTGATTGTTCAATATCAAGAATTAAATTTAACAGATGATGTAATCAATTTAAATAAAATATATATAAGTTCCACACCAAATCAAATTTATACCGAAAAGAGCTCTATAGAGGTTATCTTAAAAAATGCAAAAAATGAAATAGTAAGTAAATTTGAAGCCTTTACAAGCAAAAATACAAAATATAGGTTTGATAGAATTATTCAACTAGACATTCTATCTGATAAATGCAATCCATTACGAGGTGGAACCTATGTGCAATTACCAAGCTTTATTTCTCATAAACATTGTTGCATCAACGTTAAAAATGTAAAAACAAGAATATTCAAATGTCTAAAGCAAGAAAATCTAAGATGTTTTGAATATGCATTGGAAAGTATACTGAACCCTGTTAAAAAATCTGATCGTGCATCTGGCTATAACATTGAAAGATATGAGTGTTTAAATATGTCTTATCCATTTGAGTTAATTCCATACAATATACAAAAATATGAAGACTTTCTAAACATTGCTATTAATATTTATAAATTTGAGAAATCTATTTTTAATCTTTTATACTTAAGCAACAATCATCAAAAATATGATAAACATGTTCAATTGCTATTATATGAAAATCATATAGTTGGAATTAAGAAACTCAACGCTCTATTAAGTGGACAAATTCATAAAAGACAACATCTAACATATATATGTAACAAATGTCATGCAACATTCAATACGAAAGAAAAATTAAATGAGCATATCCAAATTTGTATTCATCAAAAGACTATAGTAGAAATGCCTAAAGAAGAAAATAATCAACGAAAATATAAATCTAACGGTGCAGAACAGTTTCACCCCTACACAATAAATCTCGATTTTGAGTGTACATTAGAGAAAATAAATAATTCAATAACAGATTCAACGAGATACATTCATGAACATATTCCAAATAGTTTCTGCTTTCATACAATTGATGGAACAAAAGTAATTAGATGTAGTAATAAAGAAACACTAATGAAAAAATTTAATGAGGAACTTATTTATAATGGAAAACGTTATAGTGAAATTAGAAGACAAGATTATGGAAGGAAACCGGATGAGGATGAAGAAGTAGAATTTATGATAGCAAAAAAGTGTCATATTTGTAATAACGTTTTCGAGAATGAGGATCAAAAAGTCTTTGATCACGATCATGTTTCAGGAGCGTACCGAGGAGCAAGTTGCAACGGTTGTAATTTAAATTTACAATTACCAAGATTTATAACAATTGAAATTCACAACCTTAGATATGATTCAATGATATTTTTAAAATGGATTCTTGAATTGAGTGAAAACTATTCAGACATTAATATAATTCCAAACTCCAAAGAAAACTATATCACATTCTCAAAGAAAATAATTGTTGATCAATATGAACAACGCTATGATTATTCTCGATGCAATAAATGCAATGAAAAACCAAAATACAAAATTATCGAAAAATGTGATACATGTGGAAATAAAATGATTATCAAACGGAAAGGGGAAATTCAAGATGTAAAAATGGAATTTAAATTTATAGACACATTTAGATTTATAAGTACAAGTCTTGACAAAGCAGTGAACAATTTAGCTGATGTCAATAATTGTTATTGTGCTAAATGTAATTCTAAACAAGAAATAACAAATGCTAAATTTCTACCTATTAATGAAAATAATGTTTTAAAATTAATCGCCAACTGTAAAAAATGTGATAATAAAGTAAGCAAACCAGTTGAATACACTAAATTTAAAAATATCATGAAAGAATTTAATAAGGAGGACCTCCATATGGTTTTAAGAAAAGGTGTTTATCCATACGAGTGGGTTGATGATTATCAAAAATTCTATGATGAACTTCCATTAAATAAACGAGATATTCTACTTTAAATGATAAACATATAAAGGATGCAGACCTTAACTTTGCTAAAGAAGTTTATAATCATTTTGAATGTAAAAATTTTGGTGATTATCCTGATTTATACTTAAAGTTAGATACGGTTTTATTAAAAGATGTGTTTGACAACTTTAGAGAAACATGTTATAAGAATTATAAATTAGATCCTGTTTACTATATTTCAGCTCCCAATTTAGCAGATTCAGCATCATTAAAAGAAACAGGTCAAATATTAGAATTAATAACAGATCAAAAATTATACGAAACATATGAACGTGGAATCAGAGGTGGAATATCAATGATTCCAAATAGACATGCTATAGCAAATAATTGCTATTTCTATGATGAAAAACAGGGTAAGACAATAAAACTAAGTAAAGAAAAAGCTGAGGAAAAAGGAATATATAATAGTAAAAAACATATTAGTTATATTATGTATTTAGGCGCAAATAATTTATATGGAAATACGTTATCACAACCATTACCAATCGGAAAATTTGTTGGATATAATGAAAGAGAAGATGAAATAAAAACTGATCCAGAACTCAAAAGTTTAAAAATGAAACCTAGCGACTATACTTCAGAAAAGATTTTAAAGTTAAAAGATAATGATACATATGGATATACGTTTATTGTAGATTTAGAGGTTCCCAAAGAACTACATGATAAATTTGAAGACTATCCATTACTTCCAGAACATTACGTACCTGATTATGATGAGTTATCAACATATCAAAAAGAAATGATTGATAATAATATTAGAACGAAACCTAAAAATACAAAATTAATAAATACTCTAAAATTAAAGAAAGATTATGTTATCGATTTCAGAATGTTAAAAGAATGTTTAAGACAAGGAATCGTTTTAAAAGAAGTTAAAAATTATATTAAATTTGAACAGATGGCGTGGCTTAAACCCTACATAGATAAAAATACAGAATTAAGAAAAGAAACTCAAAATGATTTTGAAAAATATTTCTACAAACTAATGAACAATGCAGTGTATGGGAAACAAATGGAGAACGTAAGATCCAGGTGTGATGTGAAATTAATCAGAACACTACCTAGTTTCGATAAACATAAAGAATACGAAACCAGAACAATAATTGATGAAGACAACGTTCTTTTATATCGACGAAAAACTAAAATAAAACTTAATAAACCAGTCTATGGTGGTTTTGTTGTATTAGAACTATCAAAATTATTAATGTATAAATTTTATTACAACTACTTAAAAACTAAATACAATAATAAAATTAAGTTGTTAGGAACGGACACAGATTCTTTAATTATTTATGTTGAAACAGATGATGTTTATAAAGACATGAAAGAAAATATAAAATATTTTGATACATCAGATTATTTAATAGATTGGATGCCTCAAAAAAATAAGAAAGTTCCAGGCTTATTTAAAGATGAATACTTAGGAATTCCAATAAGAGAATGGGTTGGTTTAAGATCGAAAATGTATGCATTTAGAAATGATATAAAAGAAAAAAAGATATGTAAAGGTATAAAAAAATGTAATATAGAGAAAATGAAATTTGACATGTATAAGAATTGTTTGTTAAATACTATAACAACACAGGAAATAATCTATGGAATTGTTTCTAAGGATCTCAATTTATATACAGTTGAACAGAAGAAAACAGCCTTATCACCATATGATGACAAACGATACTTAATTGATAAAATCAATACATTACCATATGGATATTATAACTTAGATAGTTGTAGTTCATCTTCATAAATACCTTCTTCAATATTATTAACTTTGTAATAATTAACATTATATTTTAATATCTTAATAATCGTAAATATTTCTGTTGTCCAATTAGTTTTTAATTTATTTCGAAATTGATCTATGTAAGATGAGAGTCTAACTCGATCACCTATTTCAAATTTATATTTCAAGGGAGTAATTTTATAATTATAAACAGTTGTTAACAACTGAGTTTTATTTTTCTTATTAACCTCAATTGGTTTCAGTTTAATTGTTCTATGATATGTATTATTATAAGTCTTAACAATATTTGGTAGCACCGAAACCCATCTAAGATTTTTATATAAAATTGGTTTTAATTTATCTCCTAAAGTTCTATTAAATCTTTCAATTATGGAAGCCTTATTTTCAGTGCCTGTACTATATATTTTAATATTGTATTTATTTAAAATACTTTTAAGATTCTTATTATAGAACTCCTTACCTTTATCAACATGTAACAATTTTGGTCTCCTCTCATTAAATACATTTTCAAAAGCGTTAGCAACCTCAATCCCAGTTTTGGTTTTTAAAGGTACACACCAAACATACTTTGAAAATGTATCAATCACGTTTAAAATATATTTATATCCATCATTAGCTCTTAATAATTGTTTATAATGATTATCAACTGGTTCATGTTTTGTTCTCAAACTATATGAATGATCTTCTAATTTTCCTTTAGGTCTATAAAAAGCGTATAAATCAGCCTGCCAAGTATCATCAATTCCTTTTTGAATAAATTTCCTAGTGACAAAATTTTTTCTAGCTGGTTTAAATAACTCTTCAATTTCAATATCTTCTGGCGACTTGGAAATATTATTTTTAACAGATTCACAAACCGTACAAGTCGATATTCTTCTCCGTTTATCCTTTTTAATAAATTTAGGAAGATCAATGCTTTTAGTTTGTTTTTTACACTTTCTACAATAATCCATTTAATTATAATTTTATTTTCTTTTTAGAATTAGTTTTTTGCTGTGAAGGGCTAATTACAATATAAAGATTTTTTATCTAAAAATTTATGATTTAAAATTGATAATTTACAAAAACAGAAAAAATGTTTACTATAACAAAATTGACTACCTTCCATTTATATTATTTATTTTTTTGTAAAAGATGTTTTATTTTTATTACAAATAGAGCACTTTGATGTTAACAGTTTTTTATTGTTTTTAGTTATAATGAATTGTGGATTTATATTACCTGTTTTACTTTTACATTTAACACAATATAACTTCATTTATAAGTAGAAAAAAATTGATAGAATCTTATATATTCTCTCGAACGGTATTGTTAACAATGTCATATACAAATTCGGAGTAAGACACCATACAAACATAACAAACGGTATTAGGTGGTACTGGTACATCAAAATCAACGTGTAAAAGAATATTGCTTTTGGATTCGCTGGTGTTTTGAGGTTGTCTAGTTAAATCAACAACGAAGAAAGGTTTACCATTTTTAAATTGTTCTGGGTTAATATATATCAGAGGTAATTCATTATGAGTTTTAACAAACACTTTCTTGTAGTGAGTTAACATGTCATATGCAATAGAATATTTTTCTTTATCCCAATCTAAATCTAACATCTCATCAGGATATCGTTTACTATTTACTTCAAACCAAATATTTTTGACTTTACAATTATTAAATTCGCTACAATTTTTATCTTGATTATAATTTGAGTCTTTGTTTGACTGAAAAGCAACAAATCCAAATAAAGGATTGTGTATATTTCTATAGATGTTTGTAATATCTAAATTAAGAGTCTTTCCACTAATATTCTTATTCTGAATGCATTGCCACGATCTAAAGCTAAATAAATATTCATTTTTCTGTGATAATTCCTTTAAGTCATTAATTAGTTGAACTTTTGACATATCATCATGTTATGATTGGTACTCGAATAAGAAATTCTTCAATGATTATTTTTGCTCTTGGATCAGTTGCTTCCTTACGAATAGCAAAATGATCGTCATTTCTAGTAAAAATTAACTCAAAACCACCTTTAAATATTGGATTTTTAACATCTTTGAAGAATCCTAATCCAAAATTAGACAGGTTACCAACCACTGAAAAAGAATGAACGTTCGCTTTGTAATTTGATTCAAATCCTGAATTAATTGTGGGACCATTTCTATCTAGAGAGAAAGATACAATTCCTTTAATTGTACTAGCAACTCCAACACTTTCAATTTGGTCTATTACTTTACTATGTTTCCTAACTTCTATTTCAGAAAATAGAAAAGCAGGAAAATTGTCAATAAGGTGAACAGTATTATTTTGGTCTAATTCATTATTATTATCTTCCCTAACCACCTTTCCGGATATGTAATATTGAAATTGAGATCCTAAAAAATTATCTCCCACATCAATTTTAAAAACAGTTTTTTTATTAACCGTGTTTAAGTTTAACGTTGATATAGGTTGAAAATTTTGATATTCGTTTTTAATAATGTTTGATGAATATTTATCGAAGATTGGTTCCATTTATTAGGAAAAAAATTTTGTAATAGCCCAGGCAGCACACTTTGGTATAAATTACGTTTGTTTTTAGGTATTACCATACGTATGAATACGGTTGATGTTCTACCAAATATATTCGTGAAAATGTCCGCCTTATAAACATATATTATTTGTCATATATAAACGTCGATTATTAAGAATTTATCCACCTGTAATTAAACGTTTTTACTATACGTCTATAATAGATTTATAGTTGTAGTATATTTATACGAATTCTCTTTGGTATAAAAGACGTTTTTTTATGAACTACAATATACGTATGGATACCGTTGATATGCTACCCAATATATACGTGAAAATGTCCGCCCTATAAACGTATATTATTTGTATTTTTTATACGTTTAATATTACTACTTTATCTACCTTTATTTATCCGGTTTTACTATACGTCTATTTTAGATTTATCTTTATCGTATATTTGTACGATTTTTATTAATGTGTAAAATGCGTCTACCTGATATTGTTTTAAATGTATTTCAAACACAAATTAAATAAAGTGATCAGAACAAAATTTTTAAAAGAGGCCATGGAAAAATGTTAATATTTTTTAAATGACTGTTTGGATTTTATCCATAGCATGTGTGTATACACTAGCCATAAGCATTACTCGTATTTTTATTTTGGTTGTAACTGGCCTAAATATGTAGGAATTTTTTTTGATCACTTGTTATAAGTACAGAACAATATTTTATTAAAAAAAATAAACAATAAAATACTCAAAAATAAATAAATATGTACTAAAAAATAAACAATAAAATACTCAAAAATAAATAAATATATACTAAAAAATAAACAATAAAATACTCAAAAATAAAATATGTACTAAAAAATAAACAATAAAATTCTCAATAACAAACTAAACGGAACTTCTGTTTATCTAACAAAAAATGGAAATTACAATTTTAACTTAACACTTTGGATGTCCTAGACGGGCCTTGGCTAATTTAAGCCAATCTTGTATGGCACACCTAATTGTGCGGTCTGTTAAATCGCTTGGTTCACCATTCCTATAACCATGCCTTATGGCTTCTACAATAGTACAGTTTGAATATAAATGTCATTGTATTCTTAAAAGGAACTTACCAAAGATAACCTTTGTAATGTTTGTATTTTTAATTGGTCGTTTATCACGACCTGCCCAATTAAATTTGATAGCAACTTCGTTGCTGAGTAGGTGTTTTATTATATGCATCGTACAATTTCTAACATTCACTCCACCAATACAAGCCAGGCGTGTTTTCTGCAAAAAAAAAATACTACCTTTAGTATAATTCGGCTATGATTATAAAAATATTTTATTTAATCATTACCATGTATACGAAATTATCTGCGTCTTTTAAAAATGACTCAAGGTTCTTAAAGTCCTTCTTATTAGTAACAGGCAACTCAGGATAATTATCAGGTCGAGAATATTGAATATTTTGTGACTGCTGTGTTCTTAAAATATTTTGGAGCATGATCGTTTGTTGGTCTTGTGTGGCAATGACTCGTTCCAGTTTTCTCAAAATTGTTTCATTACATACTCTTGATGTGTTTGGAGTCGAAAGAACAATATTTGGTGGTATAGGTGTAAGAACCGGAGAATTAATTTGACTAGATTCGTTGTGTACTGGGGTTGACCTAAAAGAATTAGCTTCAACGGTGTTGGTTTCCTCTTCACTGCTAAATTCTTCCGAAGACCTTAAAATAAAGTATTATATTTTTGGTAATGCTGTAATAAAATTAACTTACTCAGTATCTTTTTGTGAAGTTACAGCTGCTTTTTCTTTTGTCAATTTAACTTTCTTTGGGGGCGGCTCTAATTCCCTAGTTATTCTCTTTTGAATAATCTCAGTGGTTATCAGTTTACTTTTCAGAGAATCTTGACTATTCTCTGGATCACTTGATTCATCTGATTCAGACTCTGTTAATTCGCTTCGCAAATATTTAAGAACTAAAGGAACAGGGAATTCTGAGGACCCATTTTCCTCTGAAGAATTGGACTCTTTTACAATGTTGGTTAAAGCTTCAGCGGCATTCTCATATTTTCCTGTAAAACGTTGTTTTTTAAATCTTCAAGATACGTTTTTTAATAAATACCTGTCACAAACAAAATTTTATTGACTGCAAAAGTAGCCCAAGAAGACTGTGGTTTCTTCTCGTTCTTGACATATTTTAAAAAGGTTTCTTCCCTTGCAACTCTTGGCCAGTAAGTTTTCTTTTGATTGTCAAAGAGCCAAGCCAACGGCAACAAGGCGCAATCCCTGTTTTCGAATTCTACTACCGCAAACATTTTTGCTTGAAAATTCCACCACCGGATAAAATAACTGCATGAAAAATCATATTTCATATTACCAGAGCCCCGGATAAAGAAAAAGGAAAAGGTGTACAAGGTACAAAAGGATAGTTGCTCTCCATTAAAATGAAAAAAATAACCCGTCAAGCTCAAAATAAATGTTGAAAATAAATTGTGTTTCGCCAGCAAAGTTGACCTTTTCTAGAGCAATGAAAACGTATGTCAATATTATTTGCGAAACATGTGTCAAATTTGGTATACAGGGTGATTCATGAAGAATGGACAATAGTTTATCTGCAGATTCTATGGCAGAAAATATAAATTTTTTGCTCAATAACTGAAAGTCAATTATTAAAATCTGTGGCTTTTGAGAGACCTATAATAACTGCAACGACATGATGTACACATAATATAATATTTTAACATGATTATAAAAAAGGAAAATTTTTACTAGCAGAGCTGGACTTAACATAATTAGATCAAATGAAAATTCATAAAAAAAAATATTCATATTAGTGGAGTTAACAAAAAAAATACCAAAATGCCACAGAAATGGATTATATTAAACCAGGATAGCTTCGTATGCTATTCTATTTTCTTACATCAAAAACCTAATCAAACCATTTTACGTTTCTGTGTGAAAAAATAAATGAAATATAAAAACATTACTGAATTAATTTTATAACAATACCCTGTATCCTAGTAAGTATTAATATACAGGGTATCTCATTAAGAATAGGACACAAAATAACTGAAGATTTTCTGATTAAAAATAAGAGGTTTAAATTAAACTTAAATTATTAATGACTATAATATTTTTATTTCTCAGTTTAATTTTACTAAATTTGGTAAACGTTTTTTGTATTATATCATGCAAAAGAGTTGGATAAATAAACTGGCCTACGGCATGGATACACCTTCATTCCCTCTAAATTTTACACCAAACTAATTTGGACTATAATTTTAAATTTTTTGATAAATTCAAAATTTAATAATAAATTAAAATGAAGAAAATCCACACATGAGTGTGAATTTCTCAAAAACCAGTCACTTTATAAGTATAGTCCAAATAAGTTTTTGGACAGTAGCGTAAAATTTATAGGGGATCAAGATGGTACTTATCCATGTCGTTCAACACTGGCAAAGTTTAGTTTAATGTTTCGCTGATAGATCTTACTTATGGCACCAAAAATGTTTACCGAATTTGGTAAAATTATACTGAGAAATAAAAAATTATAGAAATTAATATTTTTAAATTTTTAACTTTATCGTAGTTCGGATACCAGTAATATTTTATCCAAGTATGTTTTGTTAAATGGTTGTATTTTTATTCAGAGCATCTTCAGTTGTTCTGTATCCAATTATTATTGAGCCACTCTGTATATTTAACCTCCAGTTATTAGGCAAAAAGTTTATACACCTTTCATTAGAATCTACGAGTAAAATATTACGCATATTTTAATGAATCACCCTATATAAATAACACCTACGTTCGAATTAAAGAAGTTTTTGATGTAAAATCGGCGTAATGTAAAAGCCATTTTTATACGGAAATGAAATACACTTATAGCAGATGTCATTAATGTTTAACAACTTTTGCTGTCCCGGGCCAGTTGCATAAACTATTCCCAATTTCGAAGATTTAATAGGTGTTACGTTTCAAATAATAAACGTTTTATAAAGACAAAAATGTTACGTTTCAAAGATATATTATTAAAACATATTTTGCACCACTTTAAATTTCTAACCCTTTACCTGGGTCTCATTGTAAAAATCCTTATAATAAGAATTCTTACAAGCCTCAGGCCTAGCTCAGATCAAAATAGGTCAGTGGGATTCGTTTAGAATTTACCTTCAAGTCAATGACAAAGTCTTTAATTAAAAAGACTTAAAAGAATTCAATGAAATTAATTTTGGGCGCCATACTTTTAGATGTAAAATAAAAGCAAATTTGTCATCAACTTGTCGGTTGAAAGTAAAGAAAAAAAAGACTAAAATTTCAAAACAATTAATCGGCTTTAATTTAAATTTGACTGATTACATAATAAAAAAAAAAATTAAATTAATTGATTTTAACACATTTTTCAGATTACGTTTTACCAATAAGTTTAAAATAAAAATTGACTAGTGACTCAAAAATTGTGTGTGTGGTCCTGGCCGACACTTATCTTGTGTTTCCGGATTTAACGGTCGAACTGGTCTGGTCCCTGTCTTAATGGTAGGTGAGCGGTGAGCCTACGATGACTTCAAACACTGCAGTTCCTTGCGCAACTCAGCCCAAGATATTCCGCAGCTCTAGTGGCAACTAGCTGACAATGATTCTGCAGTTCCAGATTACCAAGGACAATTCCTTATTTTATTCCAGATCCAGTTCCTTATTTTATTCCAGATCCAGTTCCTTATTTTATTCCAGATCCAGTTCCTTATTTTATTCCAGATCCAGTTCCTTATTTTGGTACAGATCCAGAGCCAGTTCCTTATTTTATTCCAGATCCAGTTCGTTAGTTATTCGGACACACAAAGCACTAAACCCAACCGGTTTACCTCGCTGCTAGATTGAAAAGAAAGTTCAAAAGCCGACAGCTGATCAAATGTGTGAAAAGGTGAATATTCCCCATCCATAAGTAAGCCAGGCGTGCGCACGACATCTGACCGTAATTATTGATTTTTAGAGAGAGCGCATCATTGGTTGGGCTATCGAATGTCTTAGACAGAGACAAATTCCCGTTTCAACATAATATCTATAATTCCAAATACGAGGGGCGCTCAAAAAGTATTAGAATATATTGGAATAATAATGAACTAATTAAATATTGTAACTATTAAAAGGGAGTGACGATTACAACGTAACACACCCCACCAAGTCCCCCAAAAAAATCTTGAAGTATGAAAGATTTTTTTAATTAGCTAAAAATCCAAAACTGTACAAAAATTAACTCCTGCATACCAAATAACAATAACTATAACTGACTAAGAAGAAATTAAATGACTAGAGAGTCCGGAAACACATGGTTACAAAAATTAGAAAAGAAAATGAAAGAACTATTGACAATAGCCTGTCCATTTATTTAGGATTTAACCAAGGACTTTTTGCCCTAGCAAATTATAGCATCTGCCAAGCTAAAAGATACTTCAACTAGATAATGGCAAGCCAAAGCACCGAAACATCCATTAGACCTCCCGTCTAATATAAGGATCATTCATATATAGAGTAATTTACTTCTATATATAAGGAAACAAAAAAATTTAAGAGGTTCCAGCAAGAACGTCCAATCACCTCCAATGCCGAGCCAGAATCCAGAGACAACAGAGATACTTTAGAGAGGGCCTCGCTTAAGATGGAAAATAGCGTCGTGGCTGGTCTCTCTAACCACCACCATACAGCATCAGAGTGTCTCCAAACACCAAACCGACAGCAAAAGTGACCTTCAGACTCAAGCCTTTCCCCAAAAACTCGAAAGACCAAAACGTAGAGTTAAATTTATTTTTAGGCACACCAAGCAACGCAAGGATTCACCAGGGAAGTGTCGAGGCACCACCCAACAGGATATAGACCTGTCAGACTAACGCGGGCATACTAAAACAAAACACGGTTAATATTGAATGGTTAACCAGAAGCAACACACTGAATTCGAATCCCCGGAGTGACATAGGCTACCATGTTGGCACAGTCGCAGTAGTCCCAGCCCCACCTTGGACGTACAAGCGCTGGCATCCCGTAGAAACTTTAAACTCCAGCCATGGTCATAACTGAGACCCCCCAACGCTATACCCTGGACACGTACTTGCTATTTAAAGCAGTCACTCTGAACCCCAAACGCACCCATATTGCTTCCGGGCCTTAAAAAAAAATTGCAAAAATACATGGAGATATGGACTGAAGGTCCCAAAAGATAAAGAAACCGATACCGACCAACAAAGTATTTACCTACCAAACAATGACCAAATAGCGAACGAAATATTAGTACCAGAGGCTCCTACAAAAGATGAAGAAGGAAAAATTCAAACCAATGGCACATCGATAAGGTTCATTGGGTATTGCCCGTTAACATCCACAGTAGTCATAGGTTACCGCTAATGACCAACCTTTGTACCAAAGATCAAACCAAATGTTCAACATCATTTACAGCAGACATCCAGCACCAACAATCCGTCAGAGTTCATCAATTGTTAAGTCAATACAAGCAGAGATGTGGACAAAAAAAATTTTAAAGATCACAGTGCCAAATAAAAAATCACTAATTTTCAAAAAGAAAATATGAATGACTAGGAAGTAAGCCTATCTACTATCTTTGAAAGATAAGAATTTATTCGTTCATTCCAGACACACTCCAAAAGGTAAAAGCGAGCTACCATCAACAATTGCTAACCACTGTATCAATGAATGATCCATTAGCTCCTAATACTTGTCTGAAACAACTAATAACAAACCCAACCAGTCATCAACAAGAAAACCCATTCTCGATACCTAGTCATCAGCTATTGCAATGCAATATCGCAACATCCTAAAGCTGACATACTATATGCAACCTGTATAACCTTACCAAAACAAGACTAGTCATCAGCTATTGCAACGCAACATCCTAAAGCTGACATACTATGTGCAAACGTATAGCCTTACCAAAGCTTAACACAGGAAACAAACCTACTTCCAAACATTCAAATAACTAGAGTGATAACAATACCAAATGATAAATCTTGTACCTACCAATGAGAAGAGAGGAATAGAACTCCTTATTACACTACTAAAGTGACATTCATATTAAAAAAAATTAAATTAAAAAAAAATTAAATTTCCAAAAATTTACATTTTGAAAAAAAAATTTCAAAGTCCAAAATCACTAAAATTTCCCTAAGTTATTTAATTTAATTTTCAAGAAAAAACAAAACTAGTATCACTACATCAACTTTTATTTGAATCTTAGAAAATTCATAAGTCGACGCTGTTGACACTGGATTATGTAAAACTCATATGTCCACCTCATAATCATCGTTAGACATATCCACAATTATTCGAAAGTTTATCTTTAATTGACATGTTGATATTCCTCATTAATATAATACTAAAATCAAAAATAAAACCAAGGTACGTACTAGATTCACCATTTTAGGTCTGTCGAAAACAAAACAGACTCTCAAACGCGGTGGAAATTACCCAAAAATAACTATACTTGTTAAACTGTGATAAAAAAAAACTATCCACACTCTTTTACAAATCTTACACGGTCCTAGTAACACATTAAAAGAGATTTCCTTACCAATGTATATAAATTCTACCCAACACAAAAAAGCTGTTATCTGATTATTATAACAGATTGTATAATCTGGATGTCTCCTTTTCCGAACGATGCCACTTTTTATCTTTTTATACGTCATTTCCAACTGGAAAAAATCCTAAAAGTTACCTACTATTAAAATTACCAATTCACATCACACGCACACTTGCCCAGCTTCGTTTAAGTAACAAATATCAGCTAAAATTCACTGTAAATAACATTTTGTACACAATAGATCCCAAAAGTATATGTACAGTGTGTAATAAGGCGGAAAACGAAACTCTTTTACATATTCTTTTTGAATGTCCGATTTACAATGTTATGAAGCCTAAAATTCAATCACTTGAAAATATAAATGCTCTTATTGCAACACTAGAAAATTTGACCATCAATGATGCTAAGTATATTTACTCATATATTTGTAACATATTAAAATTGAGATCATTTATTTTGAACGAATAATGTATTCTAGTATTCTATGATTATTTAATATATTTTTTTTTTTTTTTTTACTTTACTTTTAGCTCAATTTGAATTATGTTTATGTTACTGTGACTACACTCAAACTCTTGCTGTAACTTTGTATAAGTTGATAAGCAATAAAAATTATTATTATTATATTATTATTAAATTCTACCCAACCACGAAGATATACCTAATAATTTTATGATCCCTAGATATGATTACAAATCGAATAGCTTCTTGATACCTGTTGAGAGAGATGATAATGCGTAAAAGTAATTTTATTACCCTTAATTTGGAATAACTTTAATTCCACAAACTCCCAATAATATTATATAAATATAATACTCAAAGTTACTCATCGTACTGATACCATCTGTTATTCAAATAACTACCCAAAAATTGTTCAAAAAAACTAAAATCTGAATTCATAATGCCTAACTATTTAACAAAATCCCTTTAACTGATCAAACGTTGACCTCTAATTATTGGATTAACTAATTTATAATTGTTAAGCTGAATTCCCAAATACATATGCATCCAAATGCAACCTATGCGTCAAAATGTAACTAAGGCAACTCTAGGTTGGTTCATGACACCATCCTAAGTTCCAATCAAATCTAAATATGCAAATCAATACCCGACATTTTCGAGAAAATAAACTCGAATCAATGTATTCCTTGAGTAACTTTTTCCATGAGATAAAACAAAATTCCACTGAATAAAAATTTCTACAAAATATTCCACTGAATAATAAAAATTTTACCAAAATATTCCACTGAATAAAAATTTTCCAAACAGATAAAAATTATTATTCCCATCAGCTAAAAATATCCAGTCATTCTCAGACGTCTCCAAAAAAAAAACTAAATACATCAGCCAACATTACTAATTACTAATTATAGGTACAGAAATGACTTAATACTGGGAAAATCATTATTGCTATATAAAATTCCAAATTGAATTTTCTATTTAAAACCCCAAACGAACTAATAATTATATCTATTCCATATTATAATATACAAATTTCTCTCAACAAGTATCAAACTTATTCGCTATCAGAGGTGACACTATCTGAATCATTGGGGTGATCACTCAGAGTCTCGTCTGGTTTGAGATCCTTAATATGCCATTTGCCTATATTTTTACCATTTAAATCCTTTAATTGATAGACTAAGGGTGATATAACTTTCGTAACGATACATGGTATAAATTTGACTGTTAATTTTGACGATATAAAACCAGCTTTATCTGATTTAATAAAATTTCTTTTCCAAACCCGATCTCCAATGGTAAACCGTAATGGTCTCTTACGCATATTATACCTCTTAGCAGACGTGATATGAGATTTCTCTAACATTGTCAAAAATTTTTGGCATATTTTGAGCTTCCTCAACTCTATGAACTTTATCAGTACATGTGACACGGTTATTAGCATTATTAGATATTTTACCATAAAAGTCTCCAGACGTCGGTACATTTCTACAAAAAACAAGGAAAGCAGGGGTATATGAGGTGGTTTCATGTTTTGATACATTAATTGCTTGACAAATGTTGTAAATATTTTCATCCCAGTTCCTATTATCGTTATGACTAAAAGATCTAAGGGCTGTAACTAATGACTTATTGACCCTCTCGGTAGGGTTAATTTGAGGATGAAAATTCGCATTATACCAAATTTTCTGTACCGAATACTTTTCCAATAAATCTTTGAGAGCTTTACCTGTAAATTGTTTACCATTATCACATGCCATGATCTGAGGTACACCAAAAATTAAAAACACTTGATTTTCAATAAATTTAACGATTGAAGATGCTGTAGCCTTAGGAAGGGCCTGAACTAAAGTATACTTGGTGAACCAGTCAACTACTACTAAAACGAAAGTATTACCTCTCCTAGACCTTGGATATGGTCCTATTAAATCACATGAAATAAATTGGAAAGGAAAACTAATATTACGATACGAACCCATTAGTCCAGCTTGTGGTAAATTTGATGGTTTACATGATGCACAAACTTTGCACCTCTTAACGTACCTAATTACTGATTTTCTCATACTAGGCCAGTAATAGAGTTCGGATATTCGTTCCAATGTTTTATAAACCCCAAAATGAGCAGCTGTAGGGTGATCATGGAATTGAGAGAGAACCTCGAAACGGTTTTTAGTAGGAACGACAATTTTCCAGTCAGAAATATTGCTAAAAGGAGCAAATCTATTAAAAATATGTTTATAAAGTGTGCCATTTTCAACCTTAAATGTGGGAAATTGTTCGGGGTTGGTTTCGACCTTTGTCAGCATGTTTCTGTACCATTCATCAGGCTCTAATAATTTAAGATCTAACAAGTTAATGTCATTCACTCGTGATAAGGCATCTGCGACAACCACACCTGCTGCCTTTCGATGTATGATTGAAAAGTTATACTGTGACAGCTGAAGAATCCACCTCGCCAATCGAGCAGAGGGATTTTTCATATTATTTAACCACACTAAGGATGAATGATCAGAAAAAACAGTAAATTGTCTACCTTCCAAATAATAACGAAAATGATCTATTCCAAACAGAACTGCTAACAACTCTTTCTCAGTAGTAGAGTACTTGCGTTGACAATTGTTAAATTTATTACTACCATATGCGATAGGGTGTTCTAACCCATCTTCCACCTGGAAGAGTACATAACCTGCGCCTACATCACTGGCGTCTGTCATAAGGAAAAATTCCTTGGTGAAGTCAGGACTACTTAACACTGGAGCAGTGGTCAAAGCTGTTTTGATTTGCTCAAAGGCCATTTCAGCTTCACTTGTCCAAGTGATGGCTTGTCCCTTCTTCCTATCTTTCAACAAATCTGTTATAGGAGATGCTAAAGATGAAAAATCTTTCAAAAATCTACGATAATACCCAATCATCCCCAACAAACGACGAACCTGTGTCGCGGTTTTTGGAGTTGGAAATTCACAAATTGCAGATACTTTCCCAGGATCTGTCCTTAAACCATGCTCATCCACTAAATAACCCAAATACTTTAAAGATGGACGGCAAAATTGACATTTTTCTAAATTAACAGTAAGATTAGCATCTTTCAGTTTCTCAAAAACCTTATTTAAGGTATCGATATGTGTCTCAAAATCGGGTGTACAAATAATTAAATCGTCTAAATAGTAAAAAGAAAATGGTTCTAACGAGGGCCCTATTATTATATCCATTAACCTACACATAGTTTGTGGAGCGCTGACCAACCCAAAAGGCATAGTGACATACTCGTATAATCCTTTACCTCTCACAGCAAATGCAGTTTTTTCACACGATGATTTTTCCAACGGGATTTGGTAAAATGCCTGTTTAAGATCGATAGAAGAAATGTATTTAGTATCACGTAATTTACTTAAAATTGTATCAATTAAAGGTAAAGGATAGGCATCTTTGTTTACAGTTACACTGTTCAATTTACGACCATCGAAACAAATTCTATAGGTGCCATTACTTTTCTTTACCAGCCAAAGTGGACTAGAATATGAACTACTACTTTCACGAATAATTCCTAATTTAAGCATCTCATCAACTTCTTTTACTAAATGTTCATGCATTGCTTGAGGCAGTGGGTATTGTTTTTGCTTGAAAGGCAAACTATTTCCGGTATCAATATAATGTTCTAAAACATGTGTTCTTCCTATTTTGTCTGAAGGACCAATATCTCTGAAATTATTAATAACTTTTTGTAATTTACATTGTTGATCTGAAGTTAAATTTGATAAATCTAAAATTTTGTTGACTGCAGCTAAATTAATAGAACATATTTTTAAAGAAAAAGCAGAAAAGTCAAAATTCACATTAAAAAGTTTTAGAAAATCCATTCCCAAAATCAAATTATGTTTCACTGAAGGTATAAGGAATATTTTAATAACTTTCGAAATATTATTAACTGTAATTACAGTTTCTATAAAACCTAGAACTTCCTGTAGTTGCCCATCAGCCGTTGTTACCCTGAGTGATCCGTCCAAGTTCATGTTATAGTGTTTATCATGAAGGTGTTCTATCCCGATAGAACCTAATAATGAAATATTCGAACCAGTGTCTAATAATCCCTGAAATTTCCTGTCAAAAATCTGAACATCCAAATATGGTCTATTATCTTTATTTTTTTTATACAAAAGTGAACCTATGTCTGAAATTTTACCAATTTTATAAAAAAGTTTTACTTTATTCAACCAAACCTCCCAGTCTACTTTATTAAATTTTTGCACAACTTTAGTGGCGGGCAGTTTATATAAACTATTTTTAACATTTGAATTAAAAGATGATATGGTTGATTTATTTTTATTTACAAAAGTTACTGACTGGTATGTGGGTTTTCGGTACTCTGAGGGTTTGAACTGGTCTTGCCCTTCTTTTCTAAACTTTTCCCATTTGCTTGTTGTCGAGCGGTAACTGGAGGAGGGAAGTATTTTGTAGCTCCGCTCGCATACCCATTTTTTGAACAAAATTTACACCTAAATTTAGTTGTTCCTACTTGACCACAACCGTAACAAAAAATTTTCCTAGGTAATTTACATTGATTAAATTTATGACCACTTTGATGGCAATTCCAGCACACAATATTACTATATGACACTACTGAAGTGTTTTTATAATTTTTATTAAAATTTCTTGGATTTGACACCCCTGGAACATTTAAATCTGGTTCGAGATATGTTCGTGACTTTACCCCACTATTTGAACTACACCCCTGGTTCCACTGTAAGGATTCTTCAATCCTCTTACACTTTTCACATAAGCTATCTACCGAATCAATATCTATTAATGCTAAGGGTTGTGAAAAAGTTGGTAGTAAATTTCGCCGAATGATCTTAATGATTGTTTTCTCATCAGGCTTAACTTCTAAGCGATTAAATAAACCCATCATATTATTAACAAAAATGGCAATTTTTTCCTTAGGATATTGTCTGCGATTTTTAATTTCCTCCAAGAGATCATCTTGGTAGTTATACGGTAAGAAATCTGCTTTTAATTTGTCCACTAATTCGACCCAAGAGACAAACTTCCCTCTATTGTTAAGATACCATGTAAAGGCATTGTGTTTAAAAAGATCTGCAGCACTAGAAAACAATTCTACATCACTTACTCCTCGAGCAGCACGCATACACTCTACTTTTTCTAGAAAACTTACTACTGAGTCTCGTTCATCAGAACCCGTAAAGAAAATACCCCATTTATGAATAGGTACTGCCAAATGTTACGTTTCAAATAATAAACGTTTTATAAAGACAAAAATGTTACGTTTCAAAGATATATTATTTAAACATATTTTGCACCACGTTAAATTTCTAACCCTTTACCTGGGTCTCATTGTAAAAATCCTTATAATAAGAATTCTTACAAGCCTCAGGCCTAGCTCAGATCAAAATAGGTCAGTGGGATTCGTTTAGAATTTACCTTCAAGTCAATGACAAAGTCTTTAATTAAAAAGACTTAAAAGAATTCAATGAAATTAATTTTGGGCGCCATACTTTTAGATGTAAAATAAAAGCAAATTTGTCATCAACTTGTCGGTTGAAAGTAAAAAAAAACTAAAATTTCAAAACAATTAATCGGCTTTAATTTAAATTTTGAATTTGACTGATTACATAATAAAAAGAAAATTAAATTAATTGATTTTAACACATTTTTCAGATTACGTTTTACCAATAAGTTTAAAATAAAAATTGACTATTGACTCAAAAATTGTGTGTGTGGTCCTGGCCGACACTTATCTTGTGTTTCCGGATTTAACGGTCGAACTGGTCTGGTCCCTGTCTTAATGGTAGGTGAGCGGTGAGCCTACGATGACTTCAAACACTGCAGTTCCTTACGCAACTCAGCCCAAGATATTTTGCAAATCAGGTCTCCTCGTTGGCAGACGTTTCCGTTGCATATGAAACCCGCAAGGTTGCCGTTGCAATCCTCCATGTTTGAAGGAAGATCCAGCCTTGAATGAAGAAAAACTCGAAGGGGGACGAAAGTCCTGGAGCACACCAGCGAACTTGAAACGGCACTCGAGCTCTGCTTGAATTAGAGCGTCTGCAGCTTCGTTCTTGATACGCAACTTTTCCGAGTCTTTAGATAAACTTGGCTTGATTTCCGGTATGATAGTTATAAACTTTGGACACGGAGTATCGGGGCCACAAATACAATCTAGATCAGCACAAACAGGTGATGTCGATAATAATGATGAACCGTACTCGTAAGTATTCATAAGTCGTTATAAAAATCGCTTTTAAAGTCAATGACAAAGTCTTTAATTAAAAAGACTTAAAAGAATTCAATGAAATTAATTTTGGGCGCCATACTTTTAGATGTAAAATAAAAGCAAATTTGTCATCAACTTGTCGGTTGAAAGTAAAGAAAAAAAAAGACTAAAATTTCAAAACAATTAATCGGCTTTAATTTAAATTTGACTGATTACATAATAAAAAAAAAATTAAATTAATTGATTTTAACACATTTTTCAGATTACGTTTTACCAATAAGTTTAAAATAAAAATTGACTAGTGACTCAAAAATTGTGTGTGTGGTCCTGGCCGACACTTATCTTGTGTTTCCGGATTTAACGGTCGAACTGGTCTGGTCCCTGTCTTAATGGTAGGTGAGCGGTGAGCCTACGATGACTTCAAACACTGCAGTTCCTTGCGCAACTCAGCCCAAGATATTCCGCAGCTCTAGTGGCAACTAGCTGACAATGATTCTGCAGTTCCAGATTACCAAGGACAATTCCTTATTTTATTCCAGATCCAGTTCCTTATTTTATTCCAGATCCAGTTCCTTATTTTATTCCAGATCCAGTTCCTTATTTTATTCCAGATCCAGTTCCTTATTTTGGTACAGATCCAGAGCCAGTTCCTTATTTTATTCCAGATCCAGTTCCTTAGTTATTCGGACACACAAAGCACTAAACCCAACCGGTTTACCTCGCTGCTAGATTGAAAAGAAAGTTCAAAAGCCGACAGCTGATCAAATGTGTGAAAAGGTGAATATTCCCCATCCATAAGTAAGCCAGGCGTGCGCACGACATCTGACCGTAATTATTGATTTTTAGAGAGAGCGCATCATTGGTTGGGCTATCGAATGTCTTAGACAGAGACAAATTCCCGTTTCAACATAATATCTATAATTCCAAATACGAGGGGCGCTCAAAAAGTATTAGAATATATTGGAATAATAATGAACTAATTAAATATTGTAACTATTAAAAGGGAGTGACGATTACAACGTAACATAGGGTCAGTGTAAACATCCATTAAATGACCAAACGATTTGCCAACAAATTTATAAATGCCTTCTAAACAAATTATATGCTTAATGATATATGGTTTTTTTTTCTACACAGACAACATTATTGGGAATTTGTGTTGAAATCATAAAGGAAATTCCTTCTCTATTGATTGTTAGTTTAAGACATTCGAAATAATTATGACCTTCCTTGACAATTTTACTTGGTGTATACATATTTTGATTGTCATAAGTACCATTGGTGTTCTCGCAATTTTCAATTTCTTGAAGTCTTCTCGCAACTTGCTGTAATGGTAGATGTTTACCCCTAATTTTGTTCTTTAATTTGCCTAAATAATTTTCAAATGGAAAGCAAGAAAAATTATTTAAATTTCCAAATTTTTGAACATCTTCATGTAAATGGCATAAGGAATGGACATTATACACGACAAAAAATTTATCATACAATTGGGCAGAAAGTAAAGTAAATTTGTCTAAAGCATCACGACCGATATTAAAATATTTATCTAATAGGTATTTGTTATTATATATAAAAATTGCACTATGCAATAAAATAAAATGATTATACAATGCAGCATCAATGTTATTTTTTAAAACTAAAGGACCACAATACAACAAGAAAAATCTATATTCTAATGCTTTGTATCTTTTAATATCGTTAAAAGTGCGAATTTTTCTGTGAAAATCATTGGGAATATACTTTTTAAGGTTTGCAAGTTTGTTATTTATACATTTCTTAGACCTTTGAGATAGTTTATACGGACGTTTTCCTTCAATTAAATAATTTACAAGTAATCTCTTTGTAACACCCAAATAAACAAGATGCATAGGGTCAAGAACGAACTCAGACACAAGTCCTATATTAAGGTTAAGAAGAGGCGATTTGGTTTTAATATGGTCATTGCCTTTTCCAATTTCCATAAGAAAATCACTGTCCTTTCTAGAATCCCAAGAACAATTTACCTCATAAAATGCCTTCTTCTCAATTCGTTTACATTTCGCAATACATCTTTCACAACCATAATTACTATTATGGCCCTTGATTTGCTTTAGATAAGCCCTGGCCGGAGCATCACAAATAAAAAAACTAATATCGAGATAATAGCAACTTCCTTGAAAATTCACCCCAAGTTCCTTTAAAGATAAAAATTCCTCTATAAAATTACTTAAGAAACTTTCTATTGGGTTTGGTTTTTCGCGACCACAAAAAATTGCTACTGCAAAAGGTGAGGTATTTTTAAAATCTTCACTGCGAATTAATATTGGCCAAAACTGTATCGAACTGTTATTAAATATTGGTATGCCATCAATATTGATTTGAAGATCAATTTTCTCTTTAATACAACTTTTGAGACCATCGCCTAATCTTTTTAATATCCCTTTTTCTAAACCAAAATAAACAATCTCTCCATTTTCGAGATGAATAATTTCAGTACTTCTAGGTGTTCCCAAGATCGTACGTGCATCGTTTTTTAAAAAGGGAAAACCCGATTTGATTATTGGAATTAATTCATTAATACATTTGTGAGTCACGTTATTAGTAAAAGCCCATTTTTTAAACTTATTTAAAAACATTGTTTCATTAAATTCGGATTTGAGATTTTTTGATTTTTCCACATTTTCCTGTTGTATTATTGGGAATGAAAAATTAAATTTGTCTATAGATGGTAAATTCAAATGTACTACACTACCTTCAGGTAATTCAATTTCAGGTGAAATATTTTCTAAAAGCTCCGAATTTGTATTATTTTCTTGGAAAGTATTATAAATAATAGAACTAGATGATATATTATTAATGTCCGAAGCCTTATTAATGTTATCTTCATTGGGAATAAATACATTTTGATTTGACTTTAAAGCATCTTGAACATTTTGTGCAATTTTTCTACGTAGATGACGCCGAGACAGGGTTATTTTAGACATTTAAATAAAAAACAACTGACCAAAAAAAAATGGAAAACAAGTATATACTTGGAATAACTAGGTAGCCTAAACAATACGTATAAAAATAATAGAAACAAAAGTAAGGTTATGTTTTGAGTTTCTATAATTATTTTACACACTTTACCTACCTATAAAATGGTAGTTTTTGTAAAATGCAACAATTATTAAAGGAGTAGCTACATTAAAACATTAATAGAAACTTACCTATGCTTTTAATCAATATACCTAGTAAAAGCCGGGACGCCAAGCCAACATGCAATACAACAAACAACAAATCCTGACACAGATGAAAATGGACGGACCTCAGAACCTGCTTTCTCCCACAAATTATTCACTACACTGAACACTATATAATAATACGCCATCCGCATGAGTAGAAATGCGAGAAGATCGTACCACTAGTACGTCATCCTCCATCCGCCATCTAAAAATAGTTCCGTGTGTATTGGGAATTTGTTATAAATGTTACAGTAATTAAAAAAATATGGATGTAATATAAATAAATATATCTATAAGCTTTTAATTTAAATAAACCTAAATATACATATTATTTACTTCTGTCTACTAGTTCATCTTAATCTGGTAATATGCGTTTAGGGTGAATTATATTTAAACGTAGAATATTATAGGTATATTAACTAGTATCGACAAACAAAAACGTTTAATTTATCTGTTAAAAAACGTTAAGTATAAAAATGGTAGATGGTACACGTTTAAAAAATCAATCAAGACGAAATTTAAACGAGAATTATAAACGAAGAATACAAATTGTAATATTATGTAAGTTTATACGAATTTAATTTAAATAAACCTAAACGTATAAACCTAAAAATAGTCGTATATTGATAACTATATTTAAACGTAGAAAAATTTATAATTATATACCATAGGATGTATAAAAAAAACGTATAATATATCGTATAAAAAACGGTATGTATAATAATCGTAAACTGTAAACGTATATGGAATCAACCAATACCTAAATTAAACGAGTATTACGTATAAAATACGTTAGTTATACTAATGTGTGCTGCCTGGGAGTGTTTAAAAAAATTAAACATAAGTGTCCACATATGGGCGGATCATTAAAATTTTGATATCTATCATCATTATAATAAAGATTATCCTTTCCAAAGTAATTTACTAACTCAATCGGTGGATAAACATCTCCAAAAGAATCGAAATAAAACTTGAAATCGTCTTTTTTAAACCAAGCAACCCAATGAGATCCATTTTGATTAGAATTATTTAAGTTTAATATTCCACATTCATTTTTATTTGGTTCTAATGGTAATTCATTTTTCATAAAACAACCTCGAAAATTTTTAATATTTTTTGAATATAATAATATATCATAATTGCTTAACGGTATTATTTTTTGTTTTTTTTAAACTCTTTTTTAAACCTTTTCCTTCTATAGTTTTATTATGTCTTTGCTGTTCCTCTAACTCTTTATCTTTAGCTTTCTTATTGATAACGGTATTAGCTATAGCACTTCCTGCTCCGATTAATGATCCTAGAGCACCAATACCTGCTAATAGCAACGGTAAAAAACCACCTGATTTTATTTGATCATATTTAAGTTCTAATCTAATTCCTGTACCATTATTTTTAGCCTTATTTAATTTATTAATTTGACGTTGCTTTAAAATGAATTTATTATTTCCATTGCCAATTTGTTCATTCTTTAATTGAATAGTAACTCCAACTTTCTTTTTATATGCTGAAGAGACTTTCTTTAATTGATTATCATTTAAATTCAACTCCATTTATAAGATAAAAAATTGTATATATTTAATTATTTTAAACCCATTCCAAAAAATCTTTTAAATTTCATAGCATTCGTTGTTACCCAAGCAGGTATCTTTTCATTTAACGTAGAATTTGGATATAAAACTCGTTCCCAAGCTTTATTTTCAAGAATCTCATCAGCTTGATGTCTTTCCTTAACATTTTTATGATCTCTGTAAAATATGTCATGCTCCATTGCTGCTTCATCTAACTTATCAACAGGTTTGTCACCTCTTGCTAACCTTTCATTCAATTTTGTACCAGGACCTAGATAGTTTTTACCTGGCCAATGGAGTTCAAATGGTAAATTATTTATAAAATCATTTAATAATCCTGATCCTTTAATTATTTTCTTAGGTAAACTAGATACATAAGAAATTAAATATTCAATACCTTTAGGAGTATCAATAATATTTTCCATTTGTCTAGCAATTAAATGCACAACTCCTAATTTTTCATTGTGAAAATTATTATTGCCAGCTCTTTCTTCAGATGCAATAAAATATAATCTTTTAAGTAGTTCATTGAGATTGTCTATATATTTATATTCTATTTGATTTTCTGTATATTCCTTTATTCCAGAGCCTCTTTTAGTTTTAGGGGTTTCACCCAAATCCTCAGTATAATCCCAAGATAAAGATCTATTTTTAAAAGGTGTTATTGGTAAATTAGATTTTAATTCAGCCCATATAAATTTGATTAAGTTTTGATATTTATTACCTGTATTTGAACGAACTTTTCCTGTGGATTTGTCATAATTTTGATATAAACAATTAGTATCAAACAAAATTCTTTTATAGTTATTGTAGTCGTCTTTAGTATACAATTTTTGATTTGGGGCGTCGGCAGATGTTAGTAATTCCCACAAACCTGTTGTACCAGTATACTTTGTCTCACCTACAATGATATCATTATCTTTGAAGAACACTTCTATATTCCCAATCATATATGCATTTTTAGTTGCATCGTTGTAAATACCATACCGATCTGAAATATTTTTTATATCTCTTTTTGTAGGTACCATCTTTAAATAATGTGAGGAAATTGGACCTAGACTTATCATAGCATGTGTTTGAGTCTCCATATCTTTAGATTCTTTAATTTCTGGTAAAGTTAAAGCTGGAATATTTGGAATTATTTTTTTTATATCAGTATCTGTGTTATTAACAGCTTGTTCAACTTTTTGTAATGCAGTAGTAATAGGAAGGAATTGTTTTTGTTTTTCCTCTAACCCACTCCGATCATTTAGAATTTCTTTTTTAAATGTTTTATTCAAACCCCTTGTATATTTTGTATTTGTTTAGCTTGTTCAACTGTGATACTTTTAGGAGTTTCAGGAATTTTGATTACATCTTCTTTATTTTGAAAACTTTCAGAATGATTGGGTTTCTTTTGATCATTATGTTTTAATTCACGTTTTAATTTTTCTCTGGTTTTTTTTTCTTTCTCAATTTTCTTTATTAAACGTCTCTGAATATTTTCTGTTTCCATTTATTATAAAAAATATATATATATTTAAGTAATAGAAAATTTAATAAGACAACATGATATAGACTATAACGTACGTAACGTAACGTAGAACGTGACATAACGTAACGCGACATAACGTAGAACGTGACAACGTAACGTAACGTAGAACGCGACATAACGTAACGTAACATAACGTAACGTAGAACGTAACGTGTTGATTTCATTATGAAACGTTTTCAAACTTGTTGTAAAATTTATTGTTTTTCAAATCGATACAAACGAAACCGTAGTCATGTTCCCAGCCTTGTTTACAAAATATATAAAAGTCTTTAAGCGTCATTTCTGTTATAAAATCTTCCCAAATCTTTCTGATGTAATGTTGAGACTGTTTGAAAATAATTAGAAAATTAGAATTTGTTCTAATTACTTGTAAATCGACTATGCTATAACACTGAGTTAAATAAATACAAGAAATATTTTTTGGTCTAGATCTAACAAAATAATCCTTAATTGTTTGTTGTTTTTCTAAAATACAGTCGTCAAAAATAACTAGACTATTTGGTTTACATTCATCTACATTAATTATATCATCACAGTTATCGTAGAAATGCGATTCAATTTTATCTATTCCAACAAATATCTGTTGCAATTCTTGATAAATTGGCTGATCAATTGATTTTGTAAAAATTAATAAACTTTCATAATAAATCCAATACTTGGTTATAACATTCCATAAAATCGTTGTTTTAACTGAACCTGATTTGCCAATAATCAAACATCTTAGAGGTGTTGGAAATAAATTTGACTGATTCGGTACAATTTCTTTAAATGGTGTTATTTTAAATTTTTCCATTTAATAAAAATATTTTTTTTAATATATTATTGACTGGACTATAGATAAAATAAATAGCCATCAATAAAAAACACGTAAAATAAGATAAAAACTACTTACCAAAAGAAAAAAGTATTACTTTCCACACCTTTCCCCTCTGCATTTTCTAGGCTTCAGACTAACTTTGGGTGTATTAGAAAGGTTTTGATAATTGATTGATAATTAATTGATAATTGATTGATAATTGATTGATAATTATTTAATATATCTTCTAGTTACTGATATACATGTCTTCAAGTTCCATTTCTTCCAGGCTGTTTTGTTCTATATAGTTATCACAATTTGTTATATTATTATTTATTTCACGTATTTCATTTTCCAGAAATTCCATTTTTTCACTATATATTCTTCTTCGATGAATCTTTTGTTTTAGTAAATTATTCCTTTTTCTATATTCAATACCAGAAATTGCCGATTTCATTTCAAATAATTTTTTTGTTTCATTTAAAATATTTTTCGAATTTATAGATTCTTTACATTTTTTTATTCCTGTTTTTAGATCACTTATTTCATTTTGTAATAATTAAATTTCACCATCTAATTTTTTTCTACGGAATATTATTTGATTCTTTGAATTTTGTTTTTGAATTTTTCTTTTATTTAAACGTGCTCTTTTCAAACATAAATCTTCAACATTCGGTTTTCCACTAAATTCACTAATAATTTCACTCATTTTAAAAAGATCGCTTATTTCAGACTGCAACTGAAACTGTATAAAATTAATATTTATAGATGACTAAATTTCTAGATTAATTTACTTCCATCAATCCGGACGTGATTGCAATGGAACGCATGATTTTATACTTCCAACTAGATACAAAATTGTTTTAGCGCGCGATTAAACCTTGAACATTTTCATCGTTACACTTCGAACTCATCATGACAGTGTGCACTCAAACAGTGCATATGCACTCAATAATTATCGCGTTCTGTTTTATTATTAATTTTGTTAGTAAATGGATTCATACTTAGTCAGTGCGCATACACTCAATTATCGCGTTGCGTTCATTAATATATTTTGTTAATTAAATAATAATAATAATAATAATAATAATAATAATAATAGTAATGGATGAGTACCTAGAGAAACGTTTATTTGTTTACAGAAAAAGCTTTAATTATTATTCGCAACTAAGTGTTTTATTATTGATGTTAAAATTATGTTTTAGTGTTTCTGGAATAAGTGGCTATTTATATTTACCATTATGTTTTATATCTTTGTTCTCTGGTATAACAGAGATATTTGAACGATCTGTTAGACAAAATGAGAGATTAACTGAATACAGGGTGTGCTATAAATTTTATAAACAAATGCTAGATCTTAATAAAGCTCAGAAATTAACCAATCAAGAAATATATTTGAGAGAAAAAGAATTTATTGAGAATATTCAGTTCTTTCCCAGAGAAAAATATTTAAAGCAAGCTGAAATTAATGGATACAATTATATTTAATATGTTGTATTTTTTAATCTTCTTTCTAATTCAGCTAGTTGTCTTTTCGTTACTAAATCATAATCGTCTACTGCATCAAGAGCTTTTACAATTCTACCCCTCACAGAAATATATGTTGGTGTTATGTTAAGTCCACTTAATTTGTTTTTGACATCTTTCATAGTTAATTCAATGTGCTCAATTCGTTCGTCTAATTCTGTTAAATCATTATCTGTAATATCTGTTACAATATTCTTTAAATATGTGTTTAATTGCTCCAATTCTTTAATTTTCTTATCTATTTGATTATTGGGAGCCCCAGATTTTTTTAGTTCTTTAATTTGTGTATTGAGTTTAACAATATCTAATTGTGTTAATTTTTTCAGACTATTCTTATTAAGCCTTTCTAAATTTCGTATTTTATTAATGAAGGTAGTTTGATTGTTTTCTAGATTAATTATTCTATTTGTTAGTTCTTTTAAATCATCAATAGTTATTTCAATGATAGCTTCTTCTAATTCTCGGTTTAATTTATTCAAATCTTCTGTTTTTAATTTGAGCTCTTCAATTTTTTTGTTGATGTCATCTTGAGATGCTCCTTTTAGTTTTAGTTTTTCAATCTCTTGTTTGAGGTCTTCAAGTTCTTGATTTTTAGAAACAATATTTGGATTTTTACTTAATCTTCGATTTTGTTTTTTCTTTACTATATTAATCTGATCGCTTAAACTGTTAATTTGAGTTTTAACATTATTTATTTCAGTTAAAGGTAAACCATGTTGTTTTAATTGATCTATTTCCACCTTAATATTTGAAAGATCTATGTTAGAGTTCGAACCAACTGAATATCCATAAACATCCATTTATAAATAAATTTTTTATATTAAATGATACTAAAATTAAAAAGTAACAAGTCTGTACTGACTTATCATTTTGAGACACATTTTCCAACAAATGGTCTCAAAGTTGGTCTATTGGGTTTCTATTCAACGAATCTGATAAATAATGTTACAAATAAAAATAATAAAATTTATTATAATGGAACTTATTTAGCTATTCCAGAAGGACAATATAATTATACATCACTTAGAACATATTTAAATAAATACGGATTTGATTTGATTCAAAATGGGAATAAAATAGAAATTAATTCTCCTTATGATATAATGGAATTTTCTGATAGTTTATCACATTTACTAAATAGTTCGAAGAAGTTTATTCCTGTTGAAACAATCAATACTCACTGTAATTTGGCTAATGGAATGTTAGTAGAAGGTGGTAAGTTTATTCATAGAGAAACCGACATTATCTCTTGTTTTAAACTGAATTCTAATTTTAACCATTTTATACTTTATGAACCTACCCCTGTATATTATCCAATTCAGTATAATAATATTTACAAAATAGAACTCAGAATATGTAATGAAAACAATGAATTAATTGATTTTAATGGAGCTGATATTATTGTAATCTTAGAGTTAAAATAGTTTATTAAATTTTTTTCTTTATAAATGAGTTGTCAAAACGTATGGAATCAGAAATGCTACGCCCTAACTCAGTTCTTATCTAACAGCAATCTACTAATCGATTTTTAATTGCTTTTTAATTGTTTGGTCACCAGTCATGCAGTCAACTCTCATTCTGCATCTATATACGTAATATATCAAAGCAACCCACCATACGCCATTTTATAATAATTTTATTTTTAAACCATTTTTTATTAAAAAAAAATCTGACTACGCGGGGGATCGATCCACCGACCTGCCGATTACCGGCCAGCGCCTTAGACCGCTCGACCACGAGGACATTTAATAATCATTTTATACTACATAATCGTTGTTTATAAATGCATATCAAGAAAAACAATTATACGCTTATCGCTTGACCTTCAGTGCATCAGGTATTGGATTATCATTATGTTATAAATTTGATATTATAAATGGAATGATTTTGTTGCGGTGAACAATGTAGACACTTGCCATGATTTTTATTGAATAATTAATAGTATGGGAGCACGCGTTACATTTTGTACTTAAAAATATTTTTTATTCGATTGAATATTTATTATAACTAAAGACCGGACATTTTAATCGCGTTCAAATAATTGGTTTTAATCACATAGGCGTCTCATTCTGGGTTCGCTATTTAAGACGGCAGACAGTGCGGCAGATTCTAATACTATCAGGACAAACCTCTTTTTTTTATTAAAACAAGATAAAAAAAGTGTACTGATATATACATAGACATTAAAACTAATACAAAAAAGTGAGATTTTTTTTTATCGTGTACCTATATTCTTTGTCTTTTGAATCATTTTCATTAAACAAATTTAATGTTTTCTTCTCACCAACGCCGAGGATATGTAGGATATTTTACAAAAGTTTTTAGTAACCTCAGATCCTTTAATTTGTGGCCTGAGAAATTTTCCTTAAAAAAAAATAACTTTTTTGATGAAGATGTTAAACTTTTCATAAGCGAGTTTAAGGTGTAGTAATGTAAACGATATTCTGTATGATATTTTTTTTATTATTATCTCTTATATAATTACAAAATATCTATTCCTCAATATTTTGGCGTGGTACACTACTCTCCTGCCTAAAATGAGGATCGAGGACCCCAGCTGCCTCCCCCGAATTTGTTATTTCCTCCAGAAAATTGGAAATTTCTAGCCTTAGCTGGTCCCGATTCATTGTTGGAAAAATTGCATCGGGGCCAAATATTAGGACTCTACGAGCGTTTGGACTAAGACGCTGTAGAGAGGGCCTAAAATGAATGTCAAATAGGCCCATCATATGTTGTCTTATACTTTCTCGATCCATTGTCGGTTAGTTGCCGGTGATATTTTTATTCAAATAAAGTCAATCCTTATATTATATTTACGAATATTTTGGCTTTTATCGATACCGTACATACCGATTTTTTGTAACAAAAAAAATATGTTTTTTTTTCCTGTGGATATTATGGTACTTATACACGATGAGACAATAAAATAAATGTCTGTTAAATTTCTGTAATGTATGTATTAATTCAATTGCTCACTCTATATAGGTATCTGTTGGTTGAAAAAATGTAAAAAGATAACAAAGAGTCGATAAACAGGAGATTTGAGAAGAAAGTGTCTTGTAAAAATATCACTAGATTTTTCCAATGAGTATATTTGTTTAGTTCAAAGGGAAAAGTGATAGAAACTGGAAACGTAAATATGGAAAATTTATTATCGGACTTTGATTGTTTTCGTCGTTTTAATGACAACAAATTATACTGCCGCAATTGTGATCAGGTGTTAGTTTTTAATGGAAAGTCAAGTATGACACAACATGTGAAAACACAAAAACACATGCAATCTTTAGAGGGATGTCCAGACAAAATCTTTTATGAAGATTTATGCAACGCATTTGTTTCTGCAAATATTCCATTAACAAAATTAAATAATACAATTTTCAAAAATTTTCTTTGTAAATATACTAAACGTAAAATACCGGATGAATCCACAATTAGAAAACATTATATTCAAAATCAGTACGATAAAGCAATGACGGCAATAAAAACGAAAATTTCCAGCAAATATATTTGGGTTAGTGCAGATGAAACGACTGACATAAAGGGTAGATGTGTTGTTAATGTTGTTGTAGGATTATTAAGTGCTGAAAATACTTCACAACAGTATTTAGTTTCTAGTGTGTTTCGTGAAACTGTGAACGCTGAAATGATTTATGAAATAGTGAAACGTGGATTGAACAATGTAATTGATAATGACGTTTCAAAAGTTTTATTGTTTATTTCAGACGCGGCAAGTGTAATGTTGAAAACAGGGAAACTATTACAAGAACATTTTCCAAACATGCTGCATGTAACTTGCCTTGCTCACGCGTTACACCGAGTTTGTGAGTTTATCCGTGACAGCTTTCCAGACATTAATTCGTTGATTAGCTGTTTTAAAAAAATTTTGTTAAAAGCACCGTCCCGAGTTTCTTTATATAAAGAAATATGTCCGAATATCCCCCTACCTCCACAACCAGTTATTACACGATGGGGAACTTGGTTACAGGCTGTGTTCTTTTTTTCGGAGCATTTCGACAGACTAAAAGTATTTATTTCCAACTTATCAGAGGACGCTCTCTCTATCACTCAGTGTAAAGGTTTAATAACAAAAACAACTTTGCAGTCGGAGTTAAATTTTCTTGCGACTTATTTTTCGTGTCTCCCAGAAACTATAAAATTCCTTGAAACCCGTAACTTACAATT